GTTAAGTCAGCAAATAAAATAGAAGAAGCTCTGCGTATTTCATGGTAACAAATGACATTCTCCTTTTCTGAAAACTCAATTCAAATTAGAAAAGATGGTGTTTTTAGACCATTTCTTCTTTGCACAAATAACCCTTGTCACTAACATGACACTTCGAAAGCTGGAGTTAGATGTAGGTGCTTCCACTCTCCCTTCCAGAAGAGGAAGAGAAAAAGCTAAAGCCAACTGGTGTTCATCCTTCATCCACACCTGTTCTTTGGAAACACATGACAAAATAGCTCTCCATTCTGACCTTAAAATCTATGCATAGTCGTTAGTTTGCTTTACTGTCCCTCTGTCCCTTTTCTAGATGGTAGCCATTGGTCTCTGAAGCAGTGGGAAGCCAGAACCACTTCCATCTGGGAAAGAAATCTGTTGGCTATCTCACCTTCAATAAATGAATTTGTAGTGAGATTGCATCATTTCACAGAAAATTAGTACGAACACCTGCAAAGCTGTGGCTTGCCCAGCCCCACTTATCATCTCTCAAGACTCCTTAAAGAAGGAAATTATCAATTTATCATTCTGTAGAGGAAATGGAATGCCTCTAACATTCGTCACCTATAAGAGAGTTTAAAGATGACGTGTTAGCTTTCTGGAAATGTTGGCCATTACTTTAAATGAAATTGAAATACTAATTTATTATTTCCCAAAATACAATCTCACTGATAATGAGTGTTTCAGCATTTTTTTTTCACCTTTGAGGACATATTTCTACCAAAACGATGTACCCTGGACTCCCACAGATTCTGGCAGGAGGTTCCCACCCATAAAAGCACAATCACTCTCAAGGGCCAGCCAGTGAAGGAGAAGCAGTTTTCTTTTGGGCTGTGACCTTAGTTCCCTATATTGCAAGGACTGGAGGAGAGTGGTGCCCAGTTCTGCAGCCCCAGACAGCTGCCTGCAAGAGTTGAGAGTGTGCAGTGTCTAGCACATTACAAATGTTTGATAATTGACTGATAATTCATGGTGTGACAGCCTGATAACTCAGCAATCCTATTCACTCAGAAATTAACTCAGTAATCAAAGTCATTAAAAGAAAAAAAAATACTACAGTACCAGCCAGATGGTGGGGAAATCAAACACATGAAAAAGGAAAAATTGCCAGTCTTTGAGTAAAACACTGGGCAGGAAAACCTGAGTCCTGGGTTTGGTTATATTCCAAATTCTAGCTCGTGCAAAGCTTGGCAGGCTTTCCTAAGTCTAGGGTACTCTAACCTTGTTTGTGAGCAGGCGCCGTGTTGGTCAGATGGACAGACATGTGGGGAATCTGTCCAAATGGCCCCAGCTGAGTTTGGGCTCCAGGTGTATGTGGAAAACTGAGAAAAGGAAGAGAGAAGCATACAGGCCCCATCCTAACATTTGTGAGGCTTGAGCAAGAGTATTAATGAAAGGGCACATACTCTGTGTCTAAACATTTAAAGGTTATAAGCTAATAAACTATTCACTGAGACATGTTCTGTCCTTCCTACCTTGACAAACATCTCTCCATAAGGACCTGGAAGGCCAGATTCAAATTTAGAATTCTTGAGCACAGGGACTTCAACACTTGAATGTGGTGATGGAAGGAGAAACAGGCCCATCTGTCCTGTTTCCTTCCTGTGCCTGGCTCCACCCTGTAAAAGGCCTCCCGCATACGTGTGTGGACACTCCACTGTGTATCTGAGCTCTGACCATGATCCAAACAGCTGTACCTTGGCCACCTTCAGGCCTCAGGGCTGTGTACCAGCCACACAGTCTGCCCTGGGGAGCTGGGAAGGTACACGTGTGGCCCTGGAAAGCACTCAGGCTGTTTGGAAAAGAAATAACTGAGTCCCAGGGATACATCTAGAATGTGAGTCGGGCACTCCAGATGGGCCTGTCTCATGGACTTCAAAGATTGCTTGCGCCATGGGGAGAGGGCTTTTCAAAAGAGAGAGAGAGCAGGACCCTCTGAGTGTGGGACCAATCACAGGAACCTCCTTGCTGGAGCCTAAAGGCCACACAAGAAATATGCTAAGCCCTGTTCTCACCACCACTCACCTCCCTTACACACCTCTCTCCATGTCCCTAGCAGCCAGGCCACCAAAACAAACTCTTCATGTGTATCTTTTGGCTCATAAGTCGTCAATAGTTATCCTTCATCTCAAGTCTCTTTTAGAGCCATCGACAGAAAATCAAAAGTATCCTAAACTCACACTAAATTGTTTCCCTTCACATCACTTAGCAGTTTGGGCAGAGATTCAGGCTGGGTTTCTATGCTGACAATGAAATGACAAAGTTGACATTATGGCCAAGCCCAGAATCCAGAGCAGAATCTCAGACCATCCTCTCAATTACTAGACCACGAGCTCTAATTCAAGAGCTTGTGCGCTTCAAGTATTAGCTATGGCAAAAGGCTGTGAGTTTAAGACACCCCAGGAAACTTCTGTAGGAATTTGAAATGCAGTCTCACTACGACACTGTCTCCTTAACAAAGCAGCACCTTTAAAATATTTAACAACCTGAAAAGGAAACCAAGCTTGAATTTTCCTTTCAAGCGCTGAGGAAGTACAGTGTTTCGCTTCTGTCTGAAATTCACCACCTCCTCAGACAAAGAATGCTCTTACGGTAAAAGCAATGGTATTTTCTCCACAATTTTCAAATAAAAGATAAAGAGCAAACAGCAGTGCAGCCTTTTTTGTTGGATCTAACAATCAAGGAATAATACAGTTTTGCCAGGGGAGAGCTCTGGTTCTAAGCTCAGAATATAAAAATAGGCTGACAGATTTTTACAAAGGGATCTTCTCAACTACCACTCTGAGGCTTGTGGGAAGTAAAGTTTTATCATTTGATTATTTGGGGGGTGTATTGTGATGATGATCGAGCTGATGGGGCCAGTCCTAGGTGAAACTCTAATAAAGAAATGTGATTTTCCCTTTCCTGCTCATTCCCATCCCCCACCCCACATGATCCGGCCTCTACCTTCACCCCAGCACAAACCTGGCCTCTGGAAAAGGAATGGGAGCCTTTGTTTGCATTGCAGCTCCCCCCCCCCACCCCCCAAATGCTTTCTTCACACAGCCCAGCCTCCCTTTGCTTGGCTAACTTTTCCTACAGCTACTTCCAAGATGCCTTCCTCAATGCTTCCCACCCCCTCAGCAATAGCCGCCTACACCTCCCCTACACTCACTGGGACCAGTTTATCATTGTTTTATCTGTGTTCCCTGCCCAGTTATACTCTCTGTCAGAGCAGAAACCATATGCATTTTCTTTAATGTTGAAATTTCCATCACTATCCCTGGGCTCTGCATGTAATAAATCTAATTGAATAAATGAATGAGTGAATTCATGAATGGAAACTTAGGCCACTATGTGACTGCTCCCAGGGTATTTGAATGAACAATATAATTGAAGAACAAACAGCACTTACCCCTCCTAGAAGAGTCATAAGCCTAACTGGAGTGTATTTGGAGGAACAAGGCACTGTAATACATACTTTTGAATGGCCTACCCCATCTAGTCAGGTTTTTTTGGTGTCATGGGGTAGGGGATTATGGTAAGGATTTTCAAGAGGAAAGGAAACCATAAAAACCACAGGAACAGTTACCAATTAGTAAGCATTTATATGTGTCAATTCTAATGCCAAGTGCTAATCATGCATCATCTTTATTACCCACATTTTATAGATGAAGAAATTGAGATTTGGTGATTAAAACAGCCTAATTTCACATAGCAAGTGGTGAGATCAGGTTATGAACCCAAATTAGTTGGACCTAAGTCAGAAAACCATCTCAGTAAGTCTTGTATTAACTGGCACCCCTTGTGCCAGCACTAGTTGTGAAAGCCCTAGCCATCCACTGTGCTCCTGACCCCACCCCCCTTGCCACCCTCTTCTGCCCCTGTGCTATCCACCCACCTGGGGGTCCCCCATTCTCCATCTTCAATGTTTCTAGGCACCACTCAGTATAGATGACCTGTCCTGTAGAGATCCCACCCAGATTACAACTGTACCAGTTAAAATTAGATCAGGATACTAATGAATGGTAAATGAAGGGAAAAATAATAACAGTGGATTAAATAAAAGAGATGATTCCATTTTTCTGCCATAGAAACCTAGAGGCAGAAGTCCAGGGTTGATCTGGTGGCTGCAGGTGTCTGGGATGCAGATTCCCCCTTTCTTGTTTATCCATAGTACACGGCTTCCATTTCTGAGGCCACCTGGTCCAAAATGTCCCCTGGAGCTCCAGCCATTGCATCCATATTTCAGCTACAGGAAGAAGAGTGAAAGAAAGGGCAGGCCCCCAATACATGCATACTTTAGGGAGACTTCCCTGCCTCTACATCCCAGCCACTCAGCCAAACAATGCAGCCTTTATTCAAGGCAGCCATATGTCCAGGTAAAAATCCTGAGTTCTGTTCTAATCAGGAGAGCAGGTACTCTCTGCCTCGGTGCCTTATCTAACAGCTTCCTTTGCTCACACTCCTCTGGGCAGCTGTGGCCAGGTGGGAGCTAGAGTGGAGGAGGAGTAATGGAGCCCTCTAAATGATGCCCTAGAGCCTTCCACATGGGGGCTGTATGATGGCATCTATCCTGCATGGCCTATGAAGTATTTTGAGAAATTTGTTCAGAGAAGTTTGTTCTCTTGAAGCTGCATCATAGTAGTGACTGCTTTGTAGCCCAATCCCACCGTTGTGCTTTTAAGGTACCCAGCAATTCAGCCTTCTCATCATGCAAAGAGGAACATCTCCCAGTCTTTGTAAGATTGGCTTGACCCTATCCCCCACAATCCTCTCACTCAGAGCCATAACCCAGGCCTTACCACCCAAAGAGTAGAGAATCAGGCTCATGATTACTAATTTGAAATGGTATAGTTTTGCAGGAGAATGCAAATAAGGACGATGGTCAAAGGCTTTCTTTAGTTTGCACATTGACTGTCATCCCTGTTCCTTACAATCAGGAAATATCTGTCCCAACATGTCGTTTGTTCCTTCTGTTGCAGGCTCCTGCGGGTGTCTTGTCATGATTTTGTTTGCCTCTGAAGTGAAAATCCACCACCTCTCAGAAAAAATTGCAAATTACAAAGAAGGGACTTACGCCTACAAGACACAAAGTGAAAAATATACCACCTCTTTCTGGGTAATTTTCATTTGCTTTTTTGTTCATTTTTTGAATGGGCTCCTAATACGACTTGCTGGATTTCAGTTCCCTTTTGCAAAATCAAAAGACACAGAGACAACGAATGTGGCTGCAGATCTAATGTACTGAAAGGCAAACATTTCTGTAATTTTCCAAGGGAGTGAGTGGACTTACTTTGGTCCTTGGATATAGCTAATTTTGTCCTGCCTTTTAGATGGCCCAGCTAAAGCACCTAAACCCTCAACGACAATGTTTACAAATTATGTACTAAGGGTACAGGTTGGAAAATAAGGGGAGCAGACGGAAGACTTTGGAAGGTTTTGTTACCTGGTGGAAAATTGCTTTGCCCCAGTTGTCAAGGCAGCTGCCAGAATGGACAAATTGTTCTTCCACATACATATCAACATGCAAAATGCCTGCTCCATCAGGGAGGAATCGAAAGGCAAGGGGAATATATTTTAATACAAACGAATACTATTTCTGCTTTATCCACACATTCGTTGCCACAGATACCAGAAAACAGAGATGGAATCATTTGCTAAAATGATAGTGCACTAAATGAGCATCAATAAATATATCAATGCAGTTTTTTTGGAAGTTCATTTAAAGCAGTCTTACTATCTTTGTCTGTTGATCAAAATTAGCAAACCTCTAACCATAAAAAAGAAGAAAACAAAGTTAAGGGTATCTTCCCCACTACATTCATGCAGTACTTTCAATGACGATAACTGCTGGGGCCACCGAGGAGTCATGAAAAATGATTTTCCTAGTAAACTTGATGCAAAATGACTAGTTGGGGCTGTTGTTTCTAACTTTAGTGTCTCGAGCACTAATTCCCAATTATGAAAATTATATTACATTCTGGGATTATGGTGCTAGTGCTATGTCATCCTGGGTTTTGATCTGGCTGTCACAAAGCAAGTCAATTTTGTTCCCTGAATTACTCATGAAATTGAGCTACAGCTGACCAAAGACCACAACTGAGCCTGGAACTGACCCCTCCTCTCTCCTCAACCTGCTGTCCTCAAGAAAATGTACAGGGAAGAAGCAGAGAGTGACAGAGAACCCTCCACCAGGCCGCCTGCCACAGCTGCTCGGTATTTAGCCCCCCACTCAAGAGTTTTGAAAGGGCTCATTAAAAAGAAATACTTTCCCCTTTTTGGAAAAATGTACAAGAAATGAATGACTGTTCGTAGATCTGAGAAATAACTTGCTCTGGTGGTGATTTGCAGCCCACAGGCTGAGATGAGAACAGACACCCTTAGCTTCCAGAGGTTAGTCCCTCCACCTTCATTCAGGAAATACACCTGGAGAATTCTAGAAGACCACAAGTCAGTCTAGTGATGAAGGGGATGTTTGGTTTGGTAATGAGCTAGAGCCCAGTTAATGGAAGTCTTCAACTGCTATGGTTAAATACACAAGCATCCATAGCTAAGAGTGGGCAGGAAAGCCCGCGGACCACCACTGCTTGGGTAATCGGCCCAAGATCTTAGAAGGCCAAGAAGGCCAAGCATTTCTCTCTCCCTCCCCCTCTTCCTCTTCCCTCTCCCTTTCCTTCTCCCTCTCTTTCTCTCCCCCTCCTCAGAGGTTTGAAAAACTTCTAACACCAAGCTTTGTTCTTTAGAAAACAAGTCTTTCATTGTTCTCTGTTCTATAAAAAGAGAAAACTTCTAGCAGCAGCTGAAAATCTAATGAGACCCTAACAGGCAAACTAACAGTTCTAGTCCCTCTATGTAAAGTAGAGGCTGGGCTGCTGATCGCTATGAATTGTGACGCACACAAAAATAAAACGAGATACAATCTGGGCCCTCAGAGGAGTGCACTTAAGTTGTTTCCCTCTCTTCTCTCAGATGAAATGTGTGGTCACCAGTGGCCTAAGAGTAACCCTTAGAGGAGAGAGCTGGCCAGGAAGTCCTTCTGCACTCTCTCTGTGGGGATCAAAGGCCAGGGAATGACATTCATCCTGCTGTGTCTGACCTCCCTCCCAGGTGCAGCCAGCATTCTCACATTCTCACAGGGACATGGGGCCCCCTGCTGGCTCTGGAATGGCAAACACAAGGCCACAGTTGGGCGCTAGGTGGTCCCAAGTGGTCAGTAGTCCTCTCAGCACCACCAAGAATATCAGTGTTTATTATGCCATGGGAAAGAACATCAAGAAGCTGTGCAAGCTGCCTGGAGTCCTCCAGGCAAACCCTGCTGAAAACTGGCAAGACTTGTTCACTGGAATAGGAGGAAGCTTCAGAAGTAAACTGTGCAGACAGGGCAGGTTACGATGAGAAGGAGGAAAGCACTTTACAGTTTACAAAGGTCTTTTGCCCTCATGGTCCCATCCGCTCCTTCACAGCTGCTGCTCTCACATCACTTCACAAGCATTCAAGGTTGATTCATTTAGCTGGTTGGCTCACACATGACACAACCCTAGGGCTTCCTCTCTTCTTTCTCTGCCCAGTTGCAGGGGGAGACACAGCGGCCCCCTTCTCAACTCTAGTGGAGGAAAGAGGAGTTCACACTGGCCACATTAAAATGCACCAACTTCGAGGTAAGCATAGCTTGCCATTAGAATGGCTATTGGTCCCAACCCTTTACCTATCAAAACCTGAACAAGAACCAAGGTGGGGTTGGAGGAGTGGAGAGCAGGGAACTTGAACACCTCTCTCAATGTTCCTCAGCATCTCTCCTTCCAATAAGATCCAGTACAGGTAAAAACAGTGTGGTTGTTATAGAAATGCTGCTTCGAGACCAGTCCTAAGACACCTGCCTCATTTTTACTTTCTTTCTCTCTCTCTCTTTCTCTCTCTCTCTTTCTTTCTTTCTTTCTNAAAGATACTTTAAAAGCTTTTTTGATAAAAGGCTGCAATCAATTTCCTTGCCCCCCAACTGCCTTTTCATACGTTTACTGCCTTCAGGAATTTTGCCAAATGATCCATTCCTGAGAAACAAACGCAGCAGTTATCTAAGGGACCATGTATATTATGATTAACACTGTGGTATAATAAGAAATATATTTGGTCTGTGCCTATAGTGTCCCATGCAAAGTAAAGTAACTGAAACAATTGGGGTTTCCAGAGAGATAGGAGTGTCTTCTGTAATTCATAAGGAGACCCTTCGAAGCATGTCTGAGTTTATGCTAATGAGGTGACCTAGAGTGGGGCCTCTAGATAGCTTCAGGATGGGGGCTGGCCACCAGAAAGAACACATCTGTGATTGAAGAGTAGGAACGCTCAGCTCTATTCTTCAGGGAGGTGAGAGTTGGGGTACAGAGATTGGCTTATAAACTCTCTTGAACAAAAATGTTAGGAGAACTTCCAGGCTGGTGAACTCATTGAGGTTCTGGAAGGGTGGTGTGCCTGGAGGGGGCACTGAAGCTCTCATGCCAACCCCAATACCTTGCCTGGTAACAGAGTGAAATGTCTCTCTCTCTCTCTCTCTCTCTCTCTCTCTCTCTCTCTCTTTCGGTCTTTAATAAATATTTTTTATTTGATCTGAATTGGGCTTGACAGTAACATTTGGCAAGTCAGAGGACAGTCAAGTCAATCTACAATAAGCTACTCCATCATCTTGACCGGAAACCTCCTGCCCTGTTTTGCTAACTGCCTTGCTGTCCCCAATGTCATCTACTTAGATATTTGGAGCCTGTGCTGTTTGGTTGCTCAGTGTTTGATCTGGTGAGATGCCCATTCTCAACCCCTTTCACCGAGACAGTCCTTCATGGTTCAGGGCATATGAGCCCCCACCTCCAAGTGACAAGGGACAGAGCCATGCTGGTCAGTTTAGAGAAAAATGTACCCACCCGTTCCTTGAAACTAACAAGCAGAGGGAAAGACTGGGCAGGTCTGAGGACCTGGATTTGGGATGAAACTCCCCCTCTGGAAAAGCTCTCTTGCTAATCAAAATGCTATTGTAAACTTTATAAACTTATTCTTTCATTTACAGACTTTGTGACTCCCCCACTCACCACCTACTTATATAACCGTTCACACCTGCTGTGTCACAACCCAGAGCTCACTGGGCTATTTGGAAAGTCCAAATGCGCCTGAAACTGACTGGATGACCCAAATAAGAAATCTCCAGAGAACGTCCCCTGCAGGACAAAAGGACAATATTAGACAGTGGTTGTAGGCACCCAAGGGTGAGGGGTGGGAGAGAATAAGTATGGTGTTGTGAAAGCCATCTAATAATAAAGGCAAGTTCTTAAAGGTTGTGTTTCTTTGCTAGAATCTTGGTCAACCTACTGTGAAAGTGAACAGAATGAGTTGCAAGGTAGATGTGTCCCTCATTTGGCAAAAGTCCACTCTTGCCCATTAATCTGTTCTGGAGGAGAGTGAGACTCAGGCACTTCTAAAAGCCTTTGTTCACTCATCCAGCCTGGTGGGTAAGGTGGTGCATGGAGGCAGTGGCCTGGCCCCTCAAGTAATTCAAGCCCATGCGCTACCAGAAACATGCAATCTCGGTGCACACAAGCTGCTCACTTGTCATGGCGATTTCCTCAGGTTCCAATTGGCCATGAACTTTACCTAGGCAAAATAATGTATCATATCTAACTCAGAGGTGTGGATTCCAGAATGTCACAGTTCTCTGATTTGCACTTCAACTGCTATCCTTCCATTTAACCAAATATAATGAACAGTGTGCCTTAACATAGAGAACAGTGTCTGTTGCACATCCCCAGCCAGTGAGCCCAAGAAAAGCTGGTGTAAACCCTTTTATTTGCACTACTCCTTTGCTCACTCTTTCCCTACTGGTTCTCTGTGGCAGACAATACTATGTGCTCCACACCGCATTCTTCTTAGGCACACAACTAAACTACATTTCCTAGCCTCCTTTGCAGGCAGGACAATGTGAGTGAGTCTGCACTGGTGGGATGTAGGCTGAAGTGACCCACGCCACTTTCAGGCCTGGCCCGGAACAACATTTCTTTATCTTTCTTTCCAAGTACTGCAGCCTTGGAGGTCGTAGGATCCAGATGACAAGGCTACAAAATAGAGGCAGGCTTCATGACCTACACTGGAGTGTGACAAGAGTGGTAAATGAACTTTCTGTAGAGCCATGGAGTTTGGGTGGTTATTTGTTACTGCAGCTTAGCCTATTTTAGCCTAGTGAACAAGGCCCTCTTCCCCAGGATAGCTCTTCTGCTTCATGCCAGTGAGACACTTCTCCAGGTCTCTCGAGGTGTAGCCGGAGGCCACACCTCTACTATCAACAGTGAGATGCTGTCTGTGCCACTGTTCTCGAAGTTGTGGTCCTCTGGCCACATTACCCATCATCCACTCAAATGAACCAGAGAGTGAATTTTCTGCATAAATATCTATATCTAAAGACTAAATAAACATTTTTGCTTATGCTGGTATCCTTCAGCATTTTTTCCTAATGACAATAAACCCTTTCTTATTCATTCAACACTGTTTTATCTTGCATCTACAATGGAGCTAGCTGAAGATTAGGGAAAGGAAATGTAAAAAG